AATGACAGTACTATCATTTAGTAAATAAAGTCTCGCATTTTATGCTTATTCGCAGTAAAAAAAAAAAATAATAATAAAAATAATGATATAAATATAAATAGATAAGTATACATATACATGCAAACACATATACAGATGAACGGATGATATGGATTAAACAATCAATTCTTATCTATATTCATATTTCTCATATCCAATAAATTTCTAGCTGGTGAATAATAATTCCTCTGTATATATAGAATCACAAATAAATAAGTACACATATAAAAATATAGACAAATGAGTAATAATAATGAAACACAATCAATTCTTATCTATATTTTATATTTAATAACTTTCTAGTTAGTGATAATTTCCATATATATAGAATTACAAATGTATATAGATTGATAAGTATACATGCAAAAATACAGATAAATGCAAGAAACAATTAATTCTTATTTATATTACTTCAAATTTCTAGCTAGTAATAATTTTCTGTACAGTCAAACCTTTTTATACCAATATGAGTGGCACCAGCCATTTGTATTGGTATAACAAGTTTATCGGTATAATTAGAGCTCTCTTTATAATTATATTATTTATAAAAACCTTATTATATTAATATAATCATATTTATTTTGAAATATAGATTTTTATTTTATTTATACTTATGAGTTAATAAAACTATCTATTGTTGATTGTTTCTTCTTTGACATATAATAAGTTCACAATTGACTTTGTACTTTATGCAATTCTAATATCATTTTAACATCAGAAGTAAAATCCTCAGGAGGATTTATCAAAAATTCTATTGCATTACTAACACCCCCTAACACTTCTTTAACCAATACAATAGGTCGAACTGTTATTTCGTTATTAACTTCTTCGGGTTCTTCATTAGAAGGGCATACCATTTCCACAATTTCTTCATCTGTTAGACCTCCTCCAGTCATTACATTATCATCAATGTTAATATATTCTTCTGCCATCATTGGTTCTTTAAAGTCTAGTTTATTAATTAATCGTTAAACACTCTCAATATCTGATTTGATTTCTGCTGACAGTTCACCTGAATCTGATTTGATTTCTGTTGACAGTTCCCTTGAATCTGATAGAATACCAGTTTTATGTCAACAATTTTTAATTATATCTTCCTTAACTAATTTCCATGCTTCAACACAAAAATTAATTGCATCCAAAATATTAACCAGCGTAATAATTGTTTGAAGTTCGGTAGTGTTAAACCTAAAAGTTTAACTTTTCCGAAATAGGAAATTTCTCACCAAATATCGATTCAACACATCAATTCGC